GCTCTAACCAACTGAGCTAACTGGTCACCCCCTCTGTGTTGGTTTTTATGAGCCTCCTATTGAGAAAAATAACATAACTAATTGTAGCCTCCACGTGGCAGCTCTGCAGCCATACTTCGTTCCCTATGCCTGAGTTTCCCCATCTATAAATGGGGAAGGGAACACCTGCTGACAAGTTGTTGTACGGATAAAACGATGGCTCAGGAGAACGCCCCGTGTGGAGCAGACACACAAACAATGTCAGCTGTTATTATCACCACTAATTACTGAATGCAAAGTGTGAACAATAGCCTGGCAAAAACGCTGTCAGTTCTTTCAGGAGCGGGACGGGGCCTCAGCCCCCCTTGCACGATGCTGGAAGAGTGCTGGGCGCTGTGTCGATGTTCATGGTTCCTGAGCCAAATGGACTGGACTGAGACATTTTTGGTGTAATGAGTTTTCACTCAGACTCTCCGAGCATCCTTCTCTGGAACTAAGAGTGATGCCTTCTGAGTCTGGCCCCCAATAGTCCCTGTTAGGAGTGTTCTGATCCCCTTTTCAGAGAGAGCTGCGTCGTTTCACTGGTGACTTGGCTGGCAAAAGACCTTCTGCCATTGTAGGGGGGTTACTTTCATCAGGTAGACCTTTGGCCATTTTATTTCATTCTTACTTTTTTTGTTTTTCATTATATGTTCATTGAGAGAAAATTGAAAGGACGCTGATATCCACCCATCTATTTATTTATTCATTTATGTCACAAACTCTTGAAATATTAGAGAAACAAAAGGAGAGCCGGCTCTCTGGGACCATGAAGCTTGAGGAGAGGGTGACTTGAGTTGCGGTTGGGGTGCCCTGTGGGCTTGTCAGCTCGCGTGAGGACGTGGATCTCTGGCTGTGATGGGAACTCCGGAAGGCTTTCCGCAGGGCGCACATGGACGGATGCACGTTTTTAGAAGCGCGCTCTGGCTGTGTGTGGAGAGTGGATTTGGGAGGGGAAGGAGCCAGCAGAGAGGGCTTGGCTCTGGCGGCTGTGAAATGACGTCACCTGATGAACGTGGCTACTTGTTCCTCACTTCCTGTGCGAATGTGAGTGGCTGGGAGCTTGTCCGGTGGCCCCGGGAGGTTAGGACACAGCCCCTTTCTCTGCTGTTGCTGAGTGATCCCAAAGATACCGATCTCATCCCCATGGTCCCAAATTAATATCAACCACGTCCACGAGGCAGCTGGGAGCAAGGGGCTGAGGGGGCTGGGAGAGGGGGGGCGGGGGCAGTGGTTCTCCGTCCATGACGACAGGACACTTCCCTGCTCCCTCCCCGGTAGCCCGTGAACTCAGCCGAGTGACCACCCCCAGCTGCAAACGAGGCCAGGAGGGTGAGCTTTTCCAGGAGGCCATGTGTCCAGCTGAAAATATATTACTGTAGAATAGAAGGAGGGAGGGATGCGTATGGGAACACTGTTGCTCTCCTGGACCACCCAGGGGACTTCGGTGATAGCAGTGGAGGGATGCAGAGCAGGACCGTTTTGTGAACATTTAGTGGATTGATGATGGGACTTCCCAATGCATTGGATGGAGGTGTGAAGGAAAGACGGGGAGAAAAGATGGGTCCCAGCTTGAGGCCCATCTACCGAAAAGTTCCCCATCTACCTCCAAGATGCCGC